CACACCCCCAACAGATATTGAAATGTGATATTTTTGTATTAATAAGCATGTCGTTGTTCACAATAGGCTGCAGGTCACTGAGAAGTTTGAGAGTTTTTTGGGGGAATTATAAGTGACAAGTAGTGTCCTGCAATTTTCTCTTCTAGGTCTGTCATGTAGATGATGGTTCCTGAATATCAGTCTGGCCCTGTTGATCTTCTCTTTCACTTTGTTGAGTAGGTATTGTAGCCTGAGGAATGCCTGACATGAATTCTTCAGCTGTGAATGTCTGTCTCATTAGCCTTTAGCATTCAGGATTGCTCCAGTAGCAGTCCTACATCAAAGCTACAGGGATAAAGTTTATAATGTAGGACATATAAATAGCCTTCATTTGACTACCCTAAGCAGGATTCTTGCAGTAAAAGTCAAATTTACTCCCATAATAGGCCAAGTTGCAGTAGCAATTTTGGCATGACTTAAAACAACAATAGAAACACATTTTAAGCAACCTAAAATAATTGGTTGTGTTGTTGCAAGTAAGCTCCCATTTCTAAAATAAAGGGACATTACTAATAGGCATAACATTTATGTGTGTACATTTGGGCCCAGTTCAAATTGATTAAATATTTTTCGGCTGCAAACCAATGCACAGTAACCTCAGAGCTCAGTAGGACTTCTGAGTAGACCTTTGCAGGATTGTGCTGCTAATTAATCAATGCATTCCATTCAAATATGTTTGCATATTTTATTTGCATATTACCAAAACTTCAGTGGCTGAATTCAGAGGCTTGCACTATGTATGCCCATGGGCTGACATGTCTAGTGAGTTTTTTTATGTTTTCCTTTAGGCAGAAGATCCCCATGTTGTTTCACTAGCTACTTATGAAAGCCTCTGCAGTTCCAAAAATTATGATGAGCCATGCAAGATGGGGGCTGCTGTTAAAAAACCCAAACCCAAAGCACCTTTGGAGATGTGGAAATAATGGTGCAATTATTTGGACGGTTGGCAATACAAGTGCCTTTATTGAGGTATAAAAGGAAGTATAAGGAGAGGGCTGCAGCTCAGTGATAGACCATCTGCGCTGCATGCTGAAGGTCCCAGGTTCTGTTCTGAGCATCTCCAGGTATGACTGAAGGAGATCCCTGTCTAAAAACCTGGTGAGCCACTGCCAGTCATTGAAGACAATACTGAGCAAAGTGGGCCAGTGTCTGACTTGATCCTAAATAACTTCCAGTTTAACAAACAAGATGGCTATGCATTGTTAGAAGGAGACACTGTCTTAATTCCCCTCCTTTAATTTGCTATTATGATAGCACACCAGAACCAAAGTAGCTAAAGCAAGTGTACCCTTAACTCACAACCCAATTGATTACAACCTGTCCCCACCAATTAAAACTGTCCCCCAGCAATTAACTGATCAATTTAGTTGATTAAGCTGCAGCCCTGGGGGAAAGGGCTTTTGTTTGGTGCTGCTTGCAGGGGAGCCATGTTTGCAAGCATCAGTCGAGACATAGATTTGTCTGGACTGATCACACAGAGAGTCTCCCTGCCAGTGCTACGCATGCCTGGCAACCACTACTGCGAAGGCTCTGCATGCAGTTGGCCAGTTCCACATTGTAAGCAGCTTGCAAGCATTGTGGTTTTGCCATGGAGTGCCTTTGGAGCTTAGAACATTCTCAAGGTATTCCAATGCATTTTACTAATGCACGGAATTAAATATTGGCAGTGCAATGAATGAGTAAGCAAATGTGGCAGCCAGCCTGCTCTGAACAACATCTCACATGCAAAAGGCTCTGGGCACCGAAATCTGCTTGACACAGAAAGGGAGCACTGGCCAGAAAAGAGCTGGGATTTCCTCTTGACTCTTGTTTGTTTCATTTGAGGGTACGTCAGGATGCTGGCCAGAGAAAGGCAACAGGGAACATGATTTGGATGTGAACTGAAACCTAGGCTGGTACTTCAGACAATACAGTCCTCCAAGTGCACTGAAATATAGTGTTGCCACTGAATACTAATTCAAGAACTGATGTGAATTCTGAACTGTTGACTCAAGAGGTCCAGAGGCTAAAAATCTCCAGGAGAGCCATAATGATAAGAACGGGTGACATTCTCTTTTAAAACAAATTTGCAAATATTGCCTGTACCTTTCACACACAGTCTATTTTGATTTACAGTGTGTTTTCTACCCCCTGCCATAACAAAGCCAGTACTTAAAAGTTTAACAAGACTTATGCCTAAGGTTACTGTCGGTAAAATTTTAAATCATCACATCATCCTTAATTGGTACAGCCTAGCATGGTAATGCAGTTTAAACCCTATCAAAGCCTTTTTGTAGCATTTGAATAGTCTAGTGTTTACTTTTGAAAATTTATATCATACATGAATTCAGTAGCTGGCAGTAACAAATCTCCTATGTTTTGTTATACTTGTTCATTTTCTTGTACTTTGCTTCCTGTGTGAAAAAGCATGTACATGATTTTTTAGGAGTAAAATAAGTTACTAGTACAGCCGGTGCATTTTCCATTTCAATTTTGTAATTTTCTGCTTGAGAAACATTGCCTTATGTCAATGAAGTGGATAGTATGGTGACTGACTTTTAAATTGATACTTGTTCATGCATCCCCATTATGAATCAAGTCAGGAGAGCAGTGGAAATAAAACTTGTTAATCATCATTCAGTCATATTCTGTCAGTGGAGACAAGATATTGGCGGGCCCCACATGAATGCTGCCGCCTTTGAGTCATATTTTCATGGAATTCACAGGTAAATTCCTTCCAAAGTGCTTGTAAATTATGTTTTTAAATGCTGCGTTGCAGGGAAGTGATCATGGCAGGCCAGAACTCCCCATGTCTTGGAGCCCGATTTGTATCTTATATTTTCAGTCTCCAGTAAGCCAATAAACCCTGCTCATTAGGAAATCTATGGTTGCATCTATGGTTGTGTGAGAATTGCTTTGGTAGTCAGCTCCATGGAGAACATATAGGGACTCACTGCAACTGGAATAAATCTGGCCTCTTGAGATGCAATCCAGACACAAGCTGAAAACAGGTGCACTCCAGAAGGCTACTAGTGGATTCAGGAGGTTACCACTAATGTGGTAGTGAAAAAGGGTAATAATAATAATAATAATAATAATAATAATAATAATAATAATAATAATTTATTATTTGTACCCCGCCCATCTGGCTGGGTTTCCCCAGCCACTCTGGGCGGCTTCCAACAAAGATAAAAAATACACTAAAATGTCACATATTAAAAACTTCCCTGAACAGGGCTGCCTTCAGATGTCTTCTGAATGTCAGGTAGTTGTTTATCACTTTGACATCTGATGGGAGGGCGTTCCACAGGACGGGCGCCACTACCGAGAAGGCCCTCTGCCTGGTTCCCTGTAACTTGGCCTCTCGCAGTGAGGGAACTGCCAGAAGGCCCTCGGAGCTGGACCTCAGTGTCCGGGCAGAACGATGGGGGTGGAGACGCTCCTTCAGGTATACTGGACCAAGGCCGTTTAGGGCTTTAAAGGTCAGCACCAACACTTTGAATTGTGCTCGGAAACTTACTGGGAGCCAATGTAGGTCTTTCAAGACCGGTGTTATATGGTCTCGGCGGCCGCTCCCAGTCACCAGTCTAGCTGCCGCATTCTGGATTAGTTGTAGTTTCCGGGTCACCTTCAAAGGTAGCCCCACGTAGAGCGCATTGCAGTAGTCCAAGCGGGAGATAACCAGAGCATGCACCACTCTGGCGAGACAGTCCGCAGGCAGATAGGGTCTCAGCCTACGTACCAGATGGAGCTGGTAAACAGTAACTGCTTTGTCCACCGGAAACCCAAGCCATGGTTTGACCTGTGTGGGAATGCCAAGCAGCAGCAGGCAAAATGCAGTGGAGGCTTGAGATGAGCACCGCACCTCATAGGGGCCTTTGACTTCAAACCTATCCATTCTTAAGGAAATCAGCCCTAAGTGTTCACTGGAAGGACAGATCCTGAAGCTGAGGCTCCAATACTTTGGCCACCTCATGAGAAGAGAAGACTCCCTGGAAAAGACCCTGATGTTGGGAGAGATTGAGGGCAGAAGGAGAAGGGGACGACAGAGGACGAGATGGTTGGAGAGTGTTCTCGAAGCTACCAGCATGAGTTTGACCAAGCTGCGGGAGGCAGTGGAAGACAGGAATGCCTGACGTGCTCTGGTCCATGGGGTCACAAAGAGTCGGACATGACTAAACAACAAAACCGTCCATCCAGGGGCACTGTCCCAACCACCTCACCCAGTTCCTCACCTGCCTGTCATCTTACTTACATGCAGTCTAGGGAGCATAGGAGCCAACTGCCAGGGACTAAAGTTCTTTCGTCGTCGCCCCCCCCCATAAAATATTTGTGGAGGCTGCACCTGCCCAAAGGTGATGGCATTCCCATTCAAATGGTGCGTACCACATCTTGTGGTTGATTGCATAGGGTGGGGCTTACCTGCGCCCCCATATTTTGTTCAAGTTGGTACCCCTGCCTGCCAGCTTCCTCGGTCTCCCCGTTGCTACTTGTAGGAAGGAGGTGGCTCTGCCTGTCACTGACTCTCGCTCAACCTCCCGTTGGCCAATCGTCTATCATGGGCACTTGTGGTTCCTGGCAAGCAACAGAGTCCCATGGGCTTTTTAAAAAAGGTTGCATGCTGGATATGAGGTGTTGGTGGCTGAAGTGGATCGCGGGAAAGTCGTCTCTAGACTCCCCCCCCCCAAGCAGGAGCGATGAGGTCATCTGCAGGTGCACCTGGACAACTGATGGACTGCCCTTACTCTGGCAAGCGAATGAGCCATTCAGGCTTTCACTATGATCGCGGCATACCAGCACAAGGGAAGCAATAGAGTGAAGCCCGTCACAGTTCTATAGCTGGGTTCAGGCCATACTTTTCAAGCACCTGGCTCCCCCTCCCAATCATGACTCGCAGCTGATCCCTATATAAATGTATCCACGCAGCCCCTGCAGTTTTATTGAGGGCGTGGCTGCAGGCTCTGAGCCCTCCACACGCGCCATTTACACCCCGGGAAGCTTGCTGGGCTGAGTAAAGTAAGGAACCCTCGGGGAGGGAGAGTTTTTAGTCTGGCTGCTTAGCCCCGCAACCTCGAAGCTGCGTTTCCGAAGCGGGTTGAGCCTGCCATTAGCGGCGAGCGAAAGGCACTCTGCGTATGCTCAGCGGCGCTGTCTCCTCCGATCTCCGCATGCCCCGAGCTGAGTCTCGGCCGCGGCCCCCGAGGGACCCCGGCTCCGTATAGACGTTCAGTATTTAATTCTGTAGAAGAAGGCGACGAAGGGGCAGGAGAGACCTGCCAAGCGGGCGGGCCGGAGAGGAGAGCTGCGCCGACTGACGTCACCAAAGGATTTTCGTTCACTTTCCGTCCAATTGATCGGCTTGGAGTCGACAGTGTCCCCTTTAATGAGCCCCGAGAGCGGCGCCGGCCAATGCGGAGAGGAGCTTGGCCGGGATCATCAGGCGGCGAGCAGAGACTCAATCAATGCTGGAGCGAAGGCGCCCAAAGTAGTTTAGTTTGTGCGGGGAAAGAGAGAGAGCGAGAGAGACGGAGGGAGAGAGGCAGGCGCGCACCGAGAAGCTGCGCCTCGGTCCCCGCTCCCATCTGCTGGAGATCCGCCTCGGCCAGGGGACCTTCCCGCTTCCCCTCCCGCTCCAGCCCGGATCTTTCCCCCGCTCGCGCGCCTTTTCTCCCGAGGGACACTTTGGCAGGTCTCATGAGGGAGCCGCGTCGCCGGCCATTTCGAGCGGCAACTTTCCAACCTCACGAACCGCTTCGCTGATCTCTGGGAGGAAATCTTCCTTCCCCACCCCACACACACTTAGCACCCCCGACGGCTGTTGGATGCAGAGGGGCAGCGTGATGGACTAAAAGGGGGAGAACGTGGGGGGTGGGAGACGACGGGAGGGATCGTAGTAGATCCCCTCAAGCAGCAAGATCGGCAGATTTTCATGGTGTAAATATAACCCCCCCCACACACACGCCGCGATCCGACCCCCTGCACCCCGCAAGCATCCACCACGCCGCTCCTTACCAGGATGAAACAAAACCCCGAGCAAGAATGAGGGATCGCGCTCCTGCCCGAGTGGGAGCAGCAGCTTCTGCATGAGGGGCGAGCAGAAGCGGGGCCGAGAGGCTGAAGCATGAATCCCGGCGAGGAGTGAAGAAGATGGAGAGACCCCTTTGCTGCGAGCCGAGGCACTCCGCGATGGAGGCCGGCGCAGGACTCTTCTTCCTCCTGCTCTACCTTTGCCTAGGCGTCCCCCAGACTTCCCAGCAAGTGCTCCGGATCGGTGAGTGCCGGGCGAGAGGGGGCGGGAGCCCGGAACGGCGGGGCTGGGGTGTGCATTTGTTTTACATAGGGGAAATCTGCCTTGCTGGATTTTAGGCACGAAATACACCCCCCCCCAAAATAACATATCGCACGCACAGAGATGAAAATGGGGTTAGGCATCCCCGCCCCATAATCACGCTGTGAGAAAAATCAGCCGGCAGTAATTCTTCTATGCATGTATTTCTATCTGTGTATGTATATATATATATGTGTGTGTGTGTGCGTGTGTATCCTTCACATGACTTGGAAAGCTTGACTTGTTACCTGCTGAAGCGCTTGCCCAGGTCCGCAGTGTGCATTGGTGACTGGGCACACTCGTAGCCCCGGGCTGCTGAGAGGCTGGCTGGCTGGCTGGCTGGCTGCAGTGCACGCAACTGACCTCTTGCCTCCCCCCCCCCAACTCTGGTCGGTCCCTGTTCCTTGGGAGGTGTTTGTGTCGTCTATGGATTGCCTCCTGGCTTTCTCTTTCTCTTTCCTCGTGTTCCTTGGATCAGTAGCACTCTCCCCCACTTTCCAAATGCAGCTACTCAGAAGGTTTGAGAAATAGACAGAACGAGCAAAAGAAGTTTGGTTGGTTGTGTGCGCGTGTGTGGGGTTTCTTAAGGTGAGTTGCACTCTTCAGCACTCAGCCCTGAAAAAGGAACGGTTTTCTTCCCCTTTAGGGTTCCCTTTTCAGGTTATCTTTGTTTTGTTAACCACTCTGTCTGGATTTTTACCCCCACCCCTTGCATTTGCAAGAATGGAGCAGTAAAGGGTTAATTTCCCTGCCCCCCCATCCATTGAATTCCAAGTGTTTGTGTGGAAGTGTGTTTATGTGTATGAGAGCAAGTAGGTTATGTTAGTTTACATTAATTCTGAGTCAACTATGTTCTGGTGGTTCCATTCAGTCTAACTTGCTTGAAACCGATGGTGTTGAAGTGCTCATACTTCACATCAAGTTCTTTTGGGTGTCAAACTAGGGAAATGTTGGCGGCTTCTCCCTATTTAACAAAGCACAATCTTGAATAAAAGTTGGAGCTAAAAATTGTGCAGTATTGTTGATCCATTGGCGTGATGGTGTGTCACAGTTCTTTTCCCCACACTGATACTGATTACTTGGCAGAAATACACCACAAAGGGTGCACATGTGTGCAGTTTACTGGAGAGAGAATTAAAGGGAAAACTTTGCTCCATGGAAACCAGGCAAAGTTCAGAGGAAGTGTTTCTTCCCACAGTGGGCTTCTTGTGTCAGTCAAGTGAGACAGTGAATACCAAGTATCAAAAGAAACGGAAGCAGACACTGGGGAAAAGCAACAAGAAGAATACATGACTCAAGCAGGATTCCCAAACATGTTTCTTTTTGCTGACTGAACTTGCATAGCGAAGTGGCTAACAGATGCATGTTAAGTTTGTCCTTTAACCAGGAAACTTTGAGACTATCTCAGAGATTTAATGCTTTGTAACTGTGAAGAAAGGCCTATTAAATGGAAAGGAATTCAGTTATATCCATAGGTATATGGCTGTATAATTTGAATTAAGCTCCAGGAAAAATTGTTCTCATGCTGATAGGATCTCTCTCCTACAAAACAGGCAAGATGTTCCTTGCAAGTCAAGTGGGACTTGATGATGCTGAGTATTTCATATCTTTCTTTTGTGAGTACGTAACAGTTTTTTGTATAGGAAAATGCCTATATCTCCTCCAGTCTGAATAGTGCTTTATAACATGAGAGCACAGTGCAGTAGCAATATAATAAAGGGAAAAAATGCTGCAGGGACATATGCATTAAAAATTAAAAGCAGCAATAATCCTCATACAGCCATGCTTCTGTGAACCTCTGAGACCTCTGGGTATAGGGCGGTATATAAATTCAATAAATAAGAATAAGAATGTTTCTGAGATCAGCCATGGGAAACTGTCCACACTAGACAGTGTTCTGTAAGAACCAACATGCAAACATAAATAATGGAAAGAGCCCATAATATGCCAAAGGTTATCTTGGATGTTGTTCCTGAAAGGCCTTCACTTGGATCCTATCCAACCTTGATCCTGAGAACTCATATGCACTCTACCTACATGAATAATCCTTGTAAAGTCAATGAGCTCCCCTTTGTGATTAAATGGAAGCTTGATGCGTAATGGGAATATGTTCAACAGTGTGTGAGCTGCTTTAGAGAAGGCACATCAAGAGGGGCTTAGGATGCAATCTCGGAACTAGTTACACTTAATTATTGCACTGAAATTGTTGTGGAAACTATATCAGATTACGGAAGATGAAAATGGCAGACCAGCAGCCCTAATTCAGCTTAAATTGCTGTGCTGCATCTGAAGCCTGATTTCATTCTTAAGGAGCATTCTTAGCTTGCTAGCTGGGAAATCTGTCCCTTTTTTCATGTAGTAATGCACAATTAACACTGACCCTTATGGTTTCTATAGGGCTGTATTGTGCAAGAAGGCAGAAAGGGGCTCTGTGTTCTTCCTTCTTCTTCTGTCCACTCAAGAATGATACAAAGACCCTGCCATGGCTCATCTGTGCTACACAGAAATTATGGGAGAAACACTGGAACATGAACCCTTTTAGCAACTTAAGTTAGGGTCCCAGGGTTGCACTAACTCTTCTGATGTAGCAAGGAGCTATGATAGTAAGGAGCTATCAGGATGATAGCTTGAATCTCTGCACTCCAGAACCTAGAAAGAAGCATGGACATAATACAAAACCATAGACTAGTGTTGCATCACAAGCTTGCTCCCCCATTCCTTCTCGCTCTTCAGTGTGGCTGTGACAAGCTATGATGGGAAACCTCCACTTCCATTTACAACTATACATAATTTGTTTTGTCCATATAAGAACAAACTCTGGTTGGTTTTAAGCATGATTTGTCCAAGCAAACTGAGAGCAAACAATAGTTTCCGATCCTGGCTTCAGATAAGCTAGGGATGGGAAACCTATAACCCGCCAGATGTTGTTGCGCACTAACTCCCATTGGCTCCAGCCAGCACATCCAATAGTCAATGATGATGATTTGTTGTACAGCAGCATCTGCAGGAATGAGCCATAGTGAAAACTAACCAAATTCCCAGTTAAAATAAAATGATAATCAGCAGTTGGTTGAAAACAGAAGCAGATGCTTATAATCTCTTCTTGGCCAGATCAGATGAAGAGTGTTGAGTGGGGGGTTGGGGTAGGGAATATACTTGTGTCCCTCACTAAAAGGTATATTGTGCCGAATTTCTCAAGACTGTACACCACAGCATGACATCATATGGTTAGTAACTTAGCAGGAATTAGTTTACTATAGGAGTACTTTGCTGTTAAGCTCAGTCAGGTATGGAAACTGACAGCATTAACAGATGGGAACATCTTCTTCCCCAAACTGACAAGGGGAAATTCAAAGAGTGAGCTTCATAGCTTCCATTTCCCCTCATATGATGAATTCTTGTGAGTCTGTCCTATTGTATTTCTTAAGAAGGGATATCTCTTCCTGTTCTTTGACACATGGCAGAGCAGGCTCCAGTGCAGAAACTGTTCATACACTTAACAATTGATTGTTGTTCCATTTATCTGCATCATCTTGAACCAAAGTACTTATTCCTAAATACTGTAAGTTTTTAAAAACCGCAAACAAACAAAGGTAGAGCAAGAATTGCTGCAATTGGGTTTCAGTTGGTGGAAGGTGTATTAGCTGCACTTCCAATGTTGCAATTTTGACCATGCTGCAGTTGCCATGTCATTATTACTTATTAGAATCTGGTCTTGGCTTTTAACTTCAGGTCTTGAATTATCTGCATCCATGAAAAGATACAGCTGCATGCTTTGATTCTGTCCTAGAAAAAAAATATTTTCTTTTTATCTTTATTTTCTTATTACACTGAAAATATATGTTCTCCTGTCTATATTGATTAATAAATCTCTTCTTATTTAAGTGAGTCTGTTTTCTGCCAGAATCCACTTAGCAGGATTTGCTAAAGATTGCAATTATGTCTATTGCTTGGTTAAGCTCCTGGGAAAGTGTTCATTTGGGAATGTGGTGTGGAAAGGAATTGAAAGGCATGCAGCACAATGCTGTGCATGTTTAATCTAAAGTAAGTCCCTATGTGTTCATAGGTTCAATCCTAGGTTCATTGAGATTTACAGAGTGACAGGGATAACACTCAGCAATAAGGCAAAGATCTGCAATCTGAATTAATTACTACCAGTTGGTGACATCAGGGCCATGTTGGTGTGAAATAAATAATCACCAAGGATATTGACATTATTCAAAGTGTCTGTATGATGAGTTTAGTATCAGAGTTAAAACTGGGATCAGTGTTCAAGTTACCAATGACACCTGGGTGTTCAGGGATAAAGTGAGGAATAAGCAGCCTCCAAAACAGCTCATTTCTATGCCACATATATTTGCATAATGTCTACATGCCTTATTCTACCACTAGAACTTCTATTACACCTGTGAGTGCTTTGATGACTCGCCATTGTACCAACCGGCAGAGGGCCTTCTCGGCAGTGGCACCCTTCCTGTGGAACGCCCTCCCACCAGATATCAGGGAATTAAACAACTTTTAGAAAACATCTGAAGGGAGCCGTGTTCAGGGAAGTTTTTAATGTCTGACATTTTATTATTTTTTCTATATTGCTGGAAGCTGCCCAGAGTGGCTGGGGAAACCCAGCCAAATGGGTGGGGTATAAACAATAAAAATAACAAGAATTTCACAAATTGGCAGGTGCTTATGACATCCTAGAGAGCACTAATAACTTATCCCCTCCACATACTATATCCTCTCTAGGTATTCAGTATTAGACCTCATAGACTGGAGTTGGCAAACTCCATCCACAATCTAACCATGTTCATTTGAATGTCTGCAAAGGGCCCTGGATGTATGACTGTATGTATGTAGAGCTAGCTATACGTAACCAAGAACTCGGCAAATGGTTGCTTCTGTTTCCCTGAGGAGCCTGAGAGATGGGTGATTTGTCAACATCAGCA